TCTTTGGTCGGATCATCAACGAGAGCCGGCCTACATCAGCCGGTAAAGGCGTAAAGGAACAGCCAGTAAAGCTAGGGACTAATGAAAGTCGAGTGTGGGTTTCATTTCACGAGGGCTTCTCAAACGCCGTTCGGAAACCGATCACACTGAGGGACTTGCTGGACGGATTTTGAGCCCGAAAATGAGCACGACTGGCAGAATAAGAAAGCAACCAAGCCTTGGAAAGGGTGTTCGCGACCGTTGCGGTTGTGAATGCCATGAGATACGAGCGACGGGATGTTGTTGTTGTAGTCCAATGTATGGAGCTATGGGTATCGATACTTGGTAGTATCCATGCTATATTGATATTCCGTCTGCACAAAATCCAATACGTCATGTTCTTGTAAGGAGATGTGTAGGGATCAATTATTAGCACATGCATGAATTGACCGAGGCTTGTTGCGCCCCCCTCCAATGAACAGATTCGACAGCAAACACCGGACGCTTCCCGCCTCGCCGCACTCTGCATTATTACATGGAGCATGTGAACAGAGCTGGATCGTAATAACAACTCCAGGCGTCTGTCTCAATCTTGGTCATGACGATGTGGTTATAGAGCCCTTTTGGTTCTCTTTACCACCTTTGCTTCCTTCTTCTATCCCGCGCCAGACTCGCCCTCCGCCGGCACAATGGCGGTTCAGTCCAAGCTGCTTCCCCCAGGCCGGAGTGTCAAGCAAATCATCTCTCAGTTGACGTCGCTCTACCTCAAAAATCGCACAAATATCTCTCGAACCGTGTACATCACCCTAGTCGTCGCACTGATCCATCGAGTCCACAATGCCATCTCAGAGCAAAAGGCCGCAGCGAGGAGGCAGGTCGAGATTCAGCGAGAGCGGACTCGCCACTCCCAGCTGTCAACAGAAGGCGGAGATGCGAAGAACGAAAGACAACAGGAGGAACATAGAAAGAAAAGAGTCGAAATCAACAGAGAGTTCTTCCGCAATCTCCTGCGGCTCCTGAAGATCGTGATCCCCGGCTGGAGAAGCAAAGAGCTGAGACTGATCGTCTCGCACAGCGTCTTTCTCGTCATCCGCACCCTGCTGTCCCTCTACGTGGCCGAACTTGATGGCAAAGTCGTATCGGCACTGGTCCGGGGCAAAGGGCGAGAGTTCGTGTTGGGTCTTGTGTGGTGGATGCTCGTGGCCGTGCCCGCAACCTTTACGAACTCGATGCTTCAGTACCATCAGACGCGCCTCGCTTTGGCCTATAGGACAAGGCTCACACAATACATCCACGAAAAGTATCTTAACAACATGACCTTCTACACGCTGTCGGCACTCGACGATCGAATAAAGAACGCTGACCAACTCATAACCGTCGACGTGTCTCGCTTCTCCAATTCCCTCGCTGAGCTCTACTCAAACCTCGCAAAACCCATCCTCGACATGGTCATCTACAATTACTCCCTCTCAAAGTCCGTTGGTGGAGAAGGCCTCTTCGCTATGGCCCTACTTGTACAGATATCCGCCAACGTCATGCGCGCATTGACACCCCCATTCGGAAAATACGTCGCCGATGAGGCGCGGCTTGAGGGGGAGTTCCGGTTCCAACATACGAGATTGATCGACTACAGCGAAGAGATTGCATTATATGCAGGCCATGAGGCTGAAAAAGACGGGCTGGACAAGGGCTATTTCACATTGATCAAACATGTCAATCGAATTCTGAGGAGACGGTTCTATCACGGCTTCATGGAAGACTTTGTCATCAAATACTTCTGGGGTGCTCTCGGCCTGCTTCTTTGCTCATTGCCCGTCTTCTTCAAGATTCCAGGGCAGAACCTCACTCCGGGAGAATCGAGAGGCGACCACACGGAATCTTTTGTCACGAACCGGCGCATGTTGCTGAGCAGTTCTGACGCTTTCGGCCGCATCATGTTCTCTTACAAGGAAATAACAGAACTCGCAGGCTATACATCTCGTGTTGCTGGGCTGCTGGATGTCATGGACGAAGTCTCGGCAGGCCGATTCGAGAAGAAACTGGTCAGCTCAGCTTCGACGGAAGAAAACGCCGCGGTGCTCAGGGGGCGAGGGACAATTGAAGAGAGCGAAAATATCGAATTCACCGACGTCCCCATCGTGAGTCCCAACGGCGATGTTCTGGTGAAGAAGTTGACCTTTGCGATCAAACCGGGGGATCACCTGTTAATCGTTGGTCCCAACGGTTGTGGCAAGTCCTCCCTTTTCAGGATCCTTGGTGGGCTTTGGCCCGTCTATGGCGGGTCTGTCAAGAAACCCAGATTCGAGGATATATTTTACATTCCTCAACGTCCGTACCTGAGTCGAGGCACACTGAGAGATCAAATCATTTACCCGGACACCCTGCGGGAATTCCGGGCCAAAAATGGCTCGGAGGAGCAGCTGAGGCAGATTCTCGCGATCTTGGAGATCGAGGCCATCATCAATCGACCTAATGGATGGGACGCCGTGGAAGAATGGCGAGACGTCTTCTCTGGGGGGTTGCAACAGCGGATTGCCATGGCTCGCCTCTTCTACCACAAGCCCAAATACGCCATCTTGGACGAATGCACTAGCTCGGTAACTTTGGAGATGGAAAGGAAGATGTACGAGACAGCCAAAGGGCTCGGCACGACACTAATGACAGTGAGTCATCGACGAAGTTTGTGGAAGTACCACAGCATGATCTTGCAATTTGACGGACAGGGCGGGTACGTGTTTTGTCCGCTGGACGCGGAGAGGAGGATCAAGCTGGAAGACGAAAAGGAGGAGCTGGAGATGTTGCTCCGGGGAGTGGACGCGTGGGAGGCACGGCTCAAGGAGCTGGAGGAGGTTTGAGGTTACGTTGTTGAACAAGCACCAAACTTTGGACTGCTCACGGATTACTGTTATCCTATTGAGCCTGCAAGCCAGGGTTTAACTCGACCTTAGATCCGGATGCACGCGTCCTGGACTTTCTATTATACTCTCAGCAGAGCAACTCGGGCTGCCAGAGCACATCGCTGGTGGTATCCTTGTCTCAACCAGCATGGAGACCTCAAGTCAGAGTCGAAACTACAACCCATCAGGTGCGAGAGTTGAACTCCCTATGCGAGAATTACGTGGATGTGCGGATTGTCTTGAAGACCCAAACGGGGACATGGCTCTTCGTTAGATAAACGCGTTCGATGAGGACGGATTGGAGCGGTGAGGATGGCACTCCAGATCAGTCGACGAAGTTCCGGCAACATTCTGCGACAGGGGCTGGTTTCTGAGCAGTGTGGATGTCTTTCAGGACTTGGTGGACAGCATGGTGGAATAGATACACACGGGAAGAGCTTTCATAGGCGAATTGACGCACCAGGGCCTTGAGGTACAGACTCGACGACATGCGAGGCAAGGAGCAGGGGAACACAGTCCCTTTACGCAGTTATCTATCTGTATACTAGGTTCTCATATTTCAGCCCGAGTGATGATGCATCAGGGAGTGACGACGATCGAGGAACTCTCACCTATCTATATATCCACATAGAAAGGGGTTCTTGATCGGTGATGCAAGGGCGAATACAGATAGACCATCTTCTGCACCTCCACCAGGCATGATACAACGACGTACACTACATACGTACATACACACATACTGGACGTTTATAGAACCGATCTCCCGCGGATGTGTGGATGCATTGTCGGACAAGAGAAAGAGAGAGGGAGTGCTATAGAGTCCTTCCTTTTCTTTTTATAGGGAGCCATCGAATCCTACCTGGCAAGCTTGGTCACCCTGCTCCATTTCGCCATCCCTTAATCCCTTTCCATCGGTGGTCAACATCCCGCTGTGCTCTTACACGTCATGTTTTGTATATACTCCAAGTCCCCAGGTCCTAGGGTTCCAGGTCAGCATTCCACGACGCTCTTCCATATTATGAATTATATATACCTGATACTTTGTCCCTGTGCAGTATCTATGCAGGTAGTAAAATCCTCATCGAGACGCACTGTGCATGCGCGCGCGCACTGCTTATACTCGAAATGTAATCTCACCAACTCCACAGAACCCACAAAAACTTCCTGTTTCTCCTCCCGTTTTCCCCACAATATTCCTTTCTTCCCTCCGGATGACAAGGACAGGTATAGACACAGGTACAAGGTGCAGGTACATGTCAAGTCCAAGGATAATATGGAAGGAGAAGGGACGGAGAAAAGTCATCCAATGTGGGAGCGGGACGATTCCTTCGCTTCCTCCAATCTTACCTAATTTACTTGTAACTCGCTCGTACTTGGAACTCGTAAGCGAAGAATTCGTGCGTGTTTTTCCGTCGAGCCGTGTTCCAGATTCGAGGCTTGAGAGGCACCGGACGCGGAGAATGGACGTGTACATGTAATCACTTAACCACATCGAGCCATCTTACGAGGTACACTCCCATTTGCAAATATTTAGATGGTTATACTACCTTACCCCAGTACGAGACACTCGATTACTTGTAAGGGGCGCTTTTATGGATGCTTTATTGCCGTTGTTAGCGGGTAAGGGGAGTCCTCGCTCAAGATGGTGGACTACTTACACACATATCGGATACACTGTATACCGAGTACATACTGGTGCCATTCGATAGTCGGGGAGGCCAAGTACAAGATTCTTCCCTTGTACTTCCTCCTTGCTTCTACAGCTTCTTTGAATGTTCGTGGGTATGGACATCAGCATCAGCCACCTTACCGGATATGCCGCACTTGTGCCACCGCTGCTGCTTGCTGCTCCCGCCGTCCTGTCGTTGTTCACGACTACCACTCGCTTTGTCAGAGATGAGGATGAGGCTGAGGCTGACATCTCCAGACCCACGAGACCCACGGATAGATGGCCTAGGTCATTGTGCGTATCGCGCGTATCCTCCTTGCTTGCTGGACTTGCCGGATCAAATCAAACCAGCTCCACTCGTGGTTCTTACGAGCGGTTGTATATAAATAAGATCGACACGCACCCTCCGGTAATCACTGTGCTCAAGCACCACGCCGCTCAAGACCAAACAAAAGATGGCGTCGTGGTCGTGGTCGTGGTTCCAGCTCCCACCAGAAATCCGCAACAGGGTATACGAGTTCGCGTACGGGACACTCGTCTTTAAACCGCTCCAGCGCCCCGACTCGACGACGCAGATGCGGATGCAGATGAACGAGTCGACTCCCTCTCCGGCATTCTCGTCCTTGGCGGTGTGCAGACAATGGAACACAGAGGTGACGCCCTACCTCCTCCCGAGAGCCACATTCGACTTTACAGGACACCCGGGAGATCCTCCTCCGCCACAGATGGTCTCTCCCAAGACGTACGAGGCCATGCGCCACGTCGTCATCCTAGAGAGCCACTGCTTCAACTCGGACTGGCTGGACCAAGTCTTTGCGAAGATGGTACAGGTGCAGACCATGACGATTCGGAAGATGGGCAGGACGAGGCCTGGAAATAACAACGACAGCGTCTTTGACGGACCGGGACTGACGCAGGAGTTTCTCGACAAGGTCAAGCTCGACCCCATCAAGACGTTGTTGACGGGCTATCGTTTCGACCATCTCTATATCAAGGAGATGTTGAAGGCTGGAAGATGTGAGAGGAGAATCTTGCTGGAGGGGAGCTTGTGGCTGCGGCTGGCCGCTAACGCTGACAGTACCATTCACTCGGTAAGGGGACCGGACCTATATCATTTCTTTCCTATTTCTTCCTTTTGCTGTCCAAATCCCGCTTGCTTTGCTGAACTAACTGGTGTGTCGCGATAGAACTATACCATTGATCTGGAGTCATGGAAAGTGCGGATCGAGGGAGTCCTCGAAGGGGCCGTCACAATATCCGATATCCAGGCACAGGAACCTGCTCCGCCGGTCGGCCCAGTCTACTTCGAGGACGAAGAGGGAATGTTCGAGTACCTCTTCAGACAACATTGGGCATCCTCACGCCACAGCAAATCCTAGGTCAGCAGTACTCGTATTACGCATACAAACCTACCTGGTGGTCATCCGATGATGCAGATCCGACAGAATTGGTATTGGTCTTACCTCTCTCCCATCGTTCACTGTCAAATACCCAGTCCCAGAGAAGGGATGTGCATGTGATGACAGGCGTGCAATGTTTGTTGAGCAGATGTCTAACAGAACCATGGGGACAGCGTGAGATATGGTACCAAATAGAGGGAAAACAAGTCAAGCCGGCATGGCATTACTGCTGTTTACCACTCCCCTCGGCTCCCGGTTGCATAACCTTCAGCAGTGAAAGCTGCCGTGAACACGGCTGGAATATTCATGTGACGATTTGGATATTCTTACCTCTTCGGTGTACGCTCTTACAGTCGGCGTAGGGCGAAACATCAAATATGAGGTCAAACGGGGACACTTCTGACGCCGTTGAAGGCCTCATCGCCCTGCGAATGGGGCTCCTAATAGGAGGAGCGCATTGGACCAAGCAGTCAAAATAGGAGTGCGAAACCGTTCTTGGAGTCCGTGGGCTCAACCAAAACATTTGTCACCGCAAAGTGTAAGTGGGCTGCTTAGCTCTGGACCATCTGCCCAGAAAACCTGCATATGGTTTGAACATGTGAGAAGGCAAATTCACAAAGCCTATACCATAAACACACGTGTTCTGCCAGTTGCCGCGGAAGACTGCACAACAAAGGGGTGAGGATCTCCCAAAGTTTACAATCCAGGTGCGCATCGAATCGTCCGATGCCCCCTCACAACAGTGCGTGTATTCCATGTGGTTCGGACGACTCGTTGAAAACGTCTGCGCTACGATGATCTGCCCATTCTCTCGGTCAGAAAAAGGCTGTCTCCAGATTCTCATGGAAAGCGGAAATGTTTAAACCTTTAGTAACGGCCGAACGAATAGGTTGGCTGTCAAAAGAAATGCAGAACTGGGCTCTGCTAGGAGCGGAAGAGTATGCGTTTATCGGCGGAAATCGACTGGTTAGGCAATGTTGGCTCGAATGTCCCTTGGAAATAGATCCTCCCTCGAACAGCAGTCGACAGAGTCCAGACTACATCTCAACATTCGTCCAAACCGTTGAGGTGTTTGAAACATGCACGGGTCGAGCTCTGATCCTCAAATCTGGTGGCAAGAGTACGCAAGACTGGCTGGATATTCCAAAGCGTTCAGGGGCACGGTGGGCATGCCACACTCGGCTGGTAATGACTACCTGATTGAGCCGTATGCTTTGCGCAACAATATTCAGTTGAGTTGCGCATGGCCTTGATTTTCTGTTAGCAACCACGCGAGTTGTAAAGGAGGGTGACAACCTTTTAAAGCAATATGTAGATCGCGATGATCAATGGGTCTTTATTGCTCGACTTTTGAGACAGATGTTCTTGTCCGCGGCGGCATGATTGTAGAGTTCCCTATATACTTTTTCCATACTTTTCGGGTAACTGTGCTGTGCCGTCCTCACCCATGCTGGGACTAGGACTTGTTATACTTTGTTCCAGAACTGTCGCTTCTCCCCTTTCGGCATTGGAGTGGGCAAGGCGTCAAAGTCACAGCACCAGATACGGGCAGACTGATTCGTTGCGGTCCAGATTGGGTATCTTGGAGCCTCTGTGGAAAGCACCCATCCCATCGCTCTTGGACTAGTTGTGCTCGGCATCCAGCCGAGATCATTCTTGATTCAGGAGACGGCCCGCTAAGTCACCTGGGAGCAGATGAAGGCTGGTTTCGTGGGGTTCGCAAGAAGCAATTCTGGATCGAAATCCACTTCCGCGGGGAAGAGAGGGAACAGTGGCCAAAATGTGTTCGGAGGGCTTGAAAAATTCGTACGAGCGAGTATCGAAGGCATTGGGAGGACGAGGAAGCACCACATCCCCTGGCAGGGGCGAGAAAACCCCTTTGGAGAACAACCCCCCTGGAATACGCATAGATCGGAGATGATGGTCGGGTGGCTCTGTGTAACTCGTAGGCTCTCGAATCCGTTCCTCATCCTCGGTAAGGACTGGGGTATCAATCTCTGATTGATTTATGGAGACGATGGATATTATCTGAGTGAGATGGCGATAGTGATAGTGACTTCTGCTGGTGCTGCTGCTGATGATGATGATGATGACGACCACCAAGGTGCTGATCTCAAAGAACGGTCCCTGCCGTTCCCGTCGGGAAGGATGAATTTGCTGGCTGATCAAAGTGCTTGCAGGCTACAGTGGATGAGTAGCGGGCACCCGCTTAGGCGGTCAGTCTGGGACTGCAATAGTCGTTGATCAAAAATGGGCAGCCCTAAGGCCAGTGTACCGAGTAGTGGGTTGCCTATTCCCACCCCCGGAATTTGCCTTTGGAACCTTCCCTGTTCCTCGAACAAGATCAGCGTAAAGGCCGTCGGCCTCTGCAAGGTACGCAACTGTGTGTTCCACTTTGGGCGATCACACTCATTTATTACACAATCTAGTCACCACAGTCATATCGTCAGCTTACGAAACATGGTGCCAAACGTCGTTCTTTGTGTTTCAGCCTTTGATGACCAGACATGCCAGATGCCTAGATGCGATGCGAGCCTCTTTGAGCAAAAATACACGAACCTCCGACAAACGGTGTCAGGTTAGAGGCGACATGTGGCAGACTTTCAGCGCAGACAAGAGATGGAAATCTAGATCCAGCCGAAGATGGAAGGTTCGCTGGTTCAGGAGGACAATTGTGTAACTCAAAGTCAGCCAGCCATTCGATAAGTCAACAGGCAGTGAAAGCCACCAGGCTTGTGGCCGCTCAGCAGTGCCCACCCTCGACACACCACAACCTCCGCTTATCAAAGTTCGACAGGGCATCTGAGCGGAAGAGCGGAGACCTGCTCGTCACCTTCTCCAGCCTAAGAGAATTGCTGCATCACCTTCTCAGAGCATGAGAAAGAGACGTTGTCCACTGACTCCAGAAACCTGCGCACACTCGCATCGAGAGTGTCACGCCCAGGGGTTGCTCCAAGCCTCTCGCATCGTGGTCTCCGAGAGCGACCCTCTGCACCTCGGATCGCCCGATCATACCTCGTATTCGAGCACTGAATGACGCGAAGAACAATGACCAAGCCCCGCGGTTCATCCAATTTTGTACGCACCTTACCTGCTTGGGTAGACTTAGCCCAAGTGTGCCTGATCAGCTTCGACTTGGCCTCTTGGGGTCTCATGATCACGCCAAATTGTCAAAAGTGGGCTGAAATTTGGGACCGTCTACACGCGCAGCCGAAGACTAATTGCCGACCACCTGGTTGGGATGTCCCCAGCGAGCCAGGTACGTAGGTGATTGCCAGACAAGGCATGAGCCCTTGTCGTACAACTTCGGGAAACTACTTGACAAGCCATCAAATTTGGACTGGAACACCCCTGTGATCTCTGTGATTGCAAGACTCAGCGATGCAATTGCAAAAGGGACACCCGGCAACACGTGGTACCCTGGCCTGGCTAGCGAAGTGGCCTGGACGTTCTTGGGTCTCGTTCTCGTGTCGAAACCCATATTTGAAAGTTGCCCTTGCAACCGTACCTGGCGCCAAACCCAATGCGAGATGCAAGGGGCTCGGAACTCTCTGCTTGCATCACGACATTCAGCTGAGCCAGTCAGCCAACCAACAAAGTTCCAAACTTCCCGGCCCACGTCGCTGGAGGTAAGGCTTGTCCTTTTGCAACCATCCATTACGGCAAGGAGAAATGGGCCCTTCAACCTTCTCAACTTAGCTGGGTGGTGCCACCTTGACCAGACACAGCCTGCAATGGCGTTCTCTAGGACCTTGGTTGCAGAGTTTGTTGGCGTGGTTCGAGATCCCTTGGCCGCTTACATTGGCTCTTACCGCGATGTAGCCGTGCATTTCCAGAATGAGTAGTCTCAAAGATCCTAGTGTCCGGTTGCTGCATTGACATGGGGTTTCTGGCTAGTAAAGTCATCGACATGGGTCCGGGACGGTGCGGGATACATAAAGAGACTGGGCGTCCTAGCCGCACCATATCTTCCTCTCACAAGAAACTGACTGCCCTTTAGCATTAAGTGCTACAACATTGGCTGGACAGGACAAGACATCGACAGACAACGTCGAGTCCAAGGCAGGCAACACTCCATCCCGACGATATGCAGACTGTTCCCATTATAAGGGAGCCTACTCCCCGAGCAAACTCTTCGCCGACTCGCTCTCGGTCAAAGTCGCCCACACAGAAAAGATATTCCCATCTTCTCTACTTGTCAGAGGCAGAGCGACAGCTCTATGTCTCTAAGATGGAAAAGTCCTCAGCTTCATCTCTTCGCTCTTCCAACTCTGTCCGGTCAAATCGCACCGCCTCGTCTTCGGCAGGGTCACAAACCTCGGTATCGACAGGTGATATACCAAAGCTGAGCATGCATGTACCTCGATATGTGGACGACCATTATCCCTTGATCGTCACCATCCACCTGGACAACATTCCTGCTTCGGTGCCAAAGGATCATCCAGCCTTCTGGTGTGCACGTCAAATGGCCCAGATCCACAACACCATCATCCGTGCTCTGAATGCAGCGTGGAACCAGGCAGTCTTGGTTCAACCTGATACCCAAGAAGCCGCTGATTTCCTTCTCTTCAACCAAATGCTCTTCAACACCTTGAATCACCATCATCATGTCGAGGACGACTATATGTTCCCAGCAATTGAAAAATTGTTGGGCCAACCCGGCGCAATGGAAGATAACACCAAGGGCCATAATTCATTTGCCGAGGGACTCACAATCTTCCAGAAATATGTTTTCATCACAAAGCCAGCCGAGTACAACGGATCCACCCTTCGTCACATCATTGAGTCATTTGCGCCCAATCTCATCCAGCATCTGCATGATGAGATTCCCACCCTTGCAAGCCTTCACACTGTGGATGGCAAGGAGCTGACGAAGATCTGGAAGCACGCGGAGCATATGGCAACCAAGGACAACAGCTTGTACACCGACGCCCCCTGGACACTGGGGTGCCAGGACAAGTCCTTCACTATTGACGGAGAGAAGTGTGGCTTCCCCGACGTACCTTGGGTCATCGAGGCCGTGATCAGGAATTGGCATGCCAAGAAGCATGCAGGAGCTTGGAAATTCTGCCCCAGTGATCTGTCTGGCAAACGGCGTCTGCTGCCCACGTCCTAAGTGGCAAGCGTTGGTTATTCTTTTCTTTTGTTTGACATGATTTGATGACCATTATGTCCCTGGGAGGGAAGATCTCCTTGTATATGTCTAGCGTTCAAGCATTGTCCTGTTTTCAGCGGGGATCGGCCTTGAGGTGGGAGAATAACATTGTATTCTTTTATCTTGGGAAAAATTGTACCATATTCTAGTATCCATTCTCCCTATACCGAACCGTTACTGGTCTTCAAAAGCTCGGGAAATAAATCCAGAAGTTGCGAGAGATCGCTAATTTGATACTTGCTCGCCTTTTCTGGTGGATCGGGCACGCCCGGCTCGACTAGATGGACGGTATTGGTCCATCCACGCTCGTATGCTGCTCGGCAATTCAGATAAGAGTCGTCCACGTAATAAATCGGGGTCTCTGGTGTTGCGCCAGCTTCCCGCTCTGCCTTGGTGAACATCTCCGGAAGTGGCTTGGGAACGAGTGGCTGTTGAGAATAATCGCAGTATGTGATTCCCTCGAAAAGATCGTCGATCCCCAGTAACTTCACGACACGTGTGCCGTGGGTAATATGCGCATTCGTAAAGAGCCACAGTTTGACTTTTGACTTATCGAAGGACTCCAGCATCGCTCTTGTTTCAGGATGCGGCGACAGGAGCTCATCCAGAGGTAATGCGTCATCGACTTCTCGATTGAAATCTAGGGGATCGATCTTATGGAAGCGCGACAGGCCCTCGATAGCCAAGCCGTAGTCTTTGTAGTACTTGTGGTGTAAGTACGTCGCCTCCTCGGCCGACATGTCGAGATGTGTCACAAAGTACTTGTTGATCAGGAGTGCCATGTGGTCATGAACTTTTCTGGATTTTGGATAGAGGCAATTGTCGATGTCGAAGAAGAAAATAGCCCGCTTATCGGCCGTTGCGGTTGCGGTTTCATTTTGGACTGAGCCCATGGCTGTGGTTGCAAGGAGATCTATGATACCAATACAGTGCTATGGGGAGACGTCAAAGACAATAAGAAATCCATAAACCCCAGAGAATGCAGTGTCGTAACAGAATGGAGTAGTTAGAATCGGCCACCGAAGCTCTGATATACGCATGGATGAAATCTATGACTCCTCCGCACAACTTGTTGATTCATGAGCGGCGTTTGGCGGCGAGTTGAAAACTGAGGTCACGTGAATTTTACACATGACTCTACACGTGATATAATGCTTGGCGATGGCTGGGTTGCGGTCCTCAAAAAAACTGGGGGAGAGATGCACGAAATCATCTCCTTCCGCAGTCTCATCACTCTCTCAAGAGGTGATCCCGCTACCTTGTTGGGGCTTCGTTTGTTCCTTGTTGACACGTTTTCCAGCATCGCCTTCTCCCTCTCAGTTGTTGCTCCTTTGATCCTTGCTATGTGTCAGTCCAGGTAGAATCCATCTGTCAGCTCTGCGCAGCTCAGACGCGCGCACACCCCTTAGGCATGTCCGCTTCCACTGGCCTTCTACTGAACGGCGTTCTGCCCACCTCTCTGCAACCCGTCAATGAGGCTTTGGAATATGAGAAGATACTGAGGATTCGCGACGAGGTATTTTCTGGAAGTCATCCTAGATTGACAGTGCCAGCCCATGCCCTCCGAGTGCCTGCTTCTCAGACCCCATCGACCCTTTCTCAGAACCAATTGAATGTACCTCCTCCGTTTCCTCCAAGCGCATCTCCCAACCATCTTGGGGCTGCTGCTGCTCAGGCCAAGCGTGAAGATGATATCACCCAAGCTCAAACAAAACCAAACGGTGTTTCCGTCGCGACTGCCACTCAACCTACCAGTAATGTTTCTGAATTTGACCCTGTCCTTTTGACAAAGTCAGATGATCTAGTTCGGGCCGAGACACAGCTGAAGCGACAACGACTTGAGCGAGCATTGAGAGAACAATTTGAACATAGAAAAGCAGATGCCCGCAAGAAACCTGCGCCCGCCGAGGCGAAACCAGACTTTGACCTACCCGCCATTTTTGCCAGAGTGACTGGTGCTGTCAGGTCCCCGTCTTCCAAGGAAGATGCCGATGCTACAGACTCCTTCGACGAAGATGCCTACTATTCTAGCAAAGCCCCCGATTCGACGCCCGAGAGACCTCCCAGCGACTCTATTGAGGACGCTGATGAAGAGCAGGCAGATGAGCCCTCGGGCCCGCGCGTCGTTAGCGCCGTCATGGGCGCGCCGCTGTACGCCGATGCTGCTGATGGCATCTCTGCCGAAGCTGCGCCGCCTGCGCCTGCTACCGTCCAACCTCCAAAGCCTGTTGCGACCATCGATACTTCGGCGATGGGCATTGATGAGGATGAAGAGGAAGGAGAGTATTCGCCCCCAGAAGCCATGGTGCAATACCCCACTCCCAAGGTCACTCAAGCACAGGAAATGCAGGACAGTAGAGATCCACGCGGTCGCCCCCTGCGCAGATACTCGGAACTGGAAGACGGTGGGGTCAGGCCTGGTTCGCCCTCGGAAGCCAACATGCGGATAGTAAGGAACCATATCACCTCTCCCATTTGCCCTCAACCGTCCCATGTCTCGCCTCTGGCTATAACTAAGGATTCTCCCCTATTACAGAATGCACGTCCGCGCCGGAAACAATGGATTGGCAGACCAGGATCTCCCCCAAGTCCTGATGATAACCAAGCATTGCCCCCTAAGAAGAAGAGAAAGCTCGAGGCTCGGGAGGCTCGCAATGCACGCAAGGCCCGAAAAAATGGCTTGACTTCTCCCGATGTCAAGGAGGAGGACGTGTCCCCACCACCCTTCCACGACGTCCAGCCACTTGGTTCGGGCAGATTCCGATCTAGCGGAGCGGATAGGCCCATTGTCATTGATGACGAACCAGTTCAAGAGGGGCGTTATATACCCGCTCCTGAACGGTATGTGGAATCTCCCTCGCGACCACTCCCACGCCGGGTTGAACAATTGATGCCTTTGAGTGAGCCTCGCCCGTTGTCCAGGTCCAGTGTGAGACCAGCTAGAGACGACCAGGACTTGCGTCGCGTGGCAAGTATGCAGAGTCTGCGAGCTGAACCACCGCGAGAATACGTCGACCAATACTACGAGACGCCTACGCGCACACGTGCAATGTCTTATGCTCGAGTGGAAAGCCCTGCCTTGATGGAACCAGGCCGCCCTCTCCGCGAGGTTGCAGTCGATTATGATCAGCCTCCTCCGGAGGTGAGAGTGGTACGCACACCGGCGCCTGTCTATCGGGATGTCTACGATGATCGTGACGGCACTTATCACCGTTACACCGTCGAGCCTATGGCGCCGCCACCACCTCCTGTCGAAAGAATTTTCATCGACCAGTACGGCAGGAAATTCCGCATTGAGGAGCGTCCCTCCGTTGTCCCTCGAGCAATGTCAGTTCGTGGTGCCGAAGCGGAGCCGCGGTATGAAGAATATCCACGACAAGCCCGTGCAGGCTCAGTTTTCGTCGAGGCAGCACCGGACAGAGCGTATGCCACCGAGATGGCTCCACCACCAGTCTCATATCATCGTCTCGCCGAGCAACCTGTAATGTCCGCTGTGCCTGGGTCCGCTCCTCGAGAATACATTGAGTCAGCTCCACCAAGACGAAGCTCCAGTGTCCAGGTGATGGATCGCCCAGCACGACAAGCCGTTTACGCTGATGAGCGGACCGATTACCGCGAGCCCATTCGAATGGGAAGCGTGCGGCCACCGCCGGCACTACGGTACGAAGAACCCCAACCGATGGGACTCGTGACACGTGGACAGAGCATGCGTCCTGTCGGTCGCGAAGGAAGTGTCTTTGTGGATGATAGACGGCCGGTCCTACCGGAATATGTTCCTGTAGACCAACCTCGATACCGACCAATGGAGCCAGAGAGGAGGTATGTCAATAGCGAAGACAGGGAGAGACTCACGATGGATGGATCAATGGATGGCAGACACCGAGTAATGGAGAGGTACTGAAATTGCAATGGGGACGGAGATGAGATTTGGGGACTTCCTTGTCTTTCTGCGTGGAGACTTGTGTTGATAATAATCAGAATTGCTGGTGGAGAGCGAGCTACGTATGTGTGTGTTTTATCTGTACAAGTACCTCGAACCTATGGATGGCGTGTATAAAATTTCGCAGAAGCTCAAAATGCGGTTGTGGCTGTCGATGAAGCAGCCGATAATATGAAGCAAGACGAGCTGGAGAACCACTTTCAAACATCAACATGATGATTCTGAAACCAAGCCATGTCAGCCTCCAAAGTGTTGTCTCTTCTCTCTGGTGCCATTGTGCGATTGTTTCATCTTGTCTTGTTCCCACGCGAGTTCGAGTTCTTCTGTAGAGAACGCACGCTGAGGCTTGCGATTGGCCACACACGAACCAACTAGCCGCCCACCTCATCTTCCTTCACACTTGGACCCCTGCGAATAGCAACTCGTCTACGGAGGACACCTTTGTCAACACTCAATGCGCTATGCCATGGTCTGGGCGCTTGCTGAACTCTGGAGCCTCTCGGATAATTGCTGACATGGCGCGACCCTCTCTGCTGGCATCCTCTCATCCAACCAACTCGATTCCAATGCCACGACTCCAGGCTTCATCTCGCCGCAAGGCCTCCTTTCCACCTGCCCTCTACCACAGGACAAGCGCCCATGAAGAAATGTGATTGAAGGGCTCCCTGCCACTCTCCACCCGCTCCGCTGCAACGGACGAGGTAGGGAGGACAAGAAGACGGAGGGAGAAAAAGTGAGCTCGTGTTAGCGGGAACTGCGGTTCCCCCACAGCAGCATGCCATGGTCGAAAGCTTCGTTTCATGGCCTTCAAAGATCCCTCTTCCTCTGGCCAGCCATCTCGACCTCTTTTCTTCTCCAAGGAAGAGTGGTAGTTTGTCGGGCTGCAGCTGCAGCTTTGGAAGCATCACGCCTTCCTTGTTTTCGTCCTCTTCTGTCCTTGACCTTTGGTTCCTGGTCTCTATCCATCACTGATGCTGGCATCGTCGACATCTCCGTTAATGGTCAAGCCCTAATCGTGCAACGGGTCGCTTGCAACACCGTGTGTTGAGACGTCGTCTCCGCCTTCGCCAATATGAAGTCCAAGGTCGCGCCGGAGGATTCGCTGGAGCCAACATGCCATTTCGAGCTGTTCGATTGTTTCTTTGCGAGAAACGATGAGAAAGAGTTGGAGAAGCAGCCACTTCCCTCTGGTTTGTGGTTCTCTCCCAGCACGAGCATGAGAGGGATTTATTGACGTATCTATAGGTGTGGAGCGAGAAATGCGCATCATGTACCAACAACCTCACCTGGTTCCACCCATGAAGCTCACCTTGTTTGACGGACTGCCTCCCACTCCTACACCACCGCTCCCTTCACAGTTATCGCAATGGGTTTCTCATGGCAAAGCTTCCCTCAGATCGAGCCTGTCATTGCGAAGACAGGCTGCGAAACCCATCATCTCTGGTCCTCAGCCACCACTGCCTGTGGCACAGCAGCTTCCCTTCCGACGGGCGGCTCACGAGTTCCGTCCACTGGAGCTCAGCATCTACATGCCCAACAATCGACTATCAGACCTTCCAGCTTTCGATAGGCTCAGTTTCACCGACGGCGGCGATATCAAAGCTCCTCCTCGAGCATTGGTGCGGACAAAGTCAGAAGAGTTCCTCCCACACAAGGTTTCTCTACTGCCTGCTCCTGCGAAACCTGCCTCGATGATTGAACAACGCCGCATGTCCCATATACGGCCCGATACCTCGTCGACTGTCATATCGATGTCGCGGCCCCCTTCGGAGTACGACGCGCTCCACTCCCACCCCGTGTCGTGGTCATCTTTCCCTGGCCTACCTCCACAGATCCACTTTCCTGGTGTTCGCTCTGAAGCATCTGTGGCTATCCTGACGCCGATGCAAGAGGAGTTTAGCCCTCCTGCGACGTCGGTCGCCATTGGTGATACTGTGCTCGACTTTCCGCGGGACCTTGAAGCTCCAGCAGCGCAAGATGACCGCATTCCCCCCGAAGCGCCCGCACCTCCTCCGATAGTACCTTCAGCACCCGCCAGAAACTTCTCCAAACCAACCGACATGAACTCGCCTTCGGGCTACTTCCATCCCAATTATCAGACACAGAAACGTATCTCTCAGTGGCTCGCGCACCGCAGTCATTCTTCCTCAATCAGTACCACTAAATCATCTTCGACGTCGTCATCATTCGCGGAGCATCGCCGCAAGCGGACTCAATTCTATCAACTCTCTGCGCCAGCAGCAGCACCACCCAAACCATTGAGCCTGTGGCCACGCCAGCATCACAGGACAATGACTGAGTCCACTGTCGCCAGCACCATTGACACTGACATTCTTTCCTATGGTGACCAAAGTCAGACAGACGCAACGAGTGTCACCACCATGACAGCCGGGGAATGGCAAGGTCGAAGTGGCCCGGTAAGGAGTGTCTCCAAGGGAGGTGGGACATTAAGACCCATTGTCAGTGGTGTCCCTGATGTGCCGCCATGCTATGCCGAGCTCATCAAGGATGCCGACGAAATCATCATCAAAGAAATTGGCGGGCCCCTGCGAAGTCCAGGTGTGGGGGTTGCTTTCTGAGGTGAATGCGGTTGCCGCATTTTTCTTTTGTTTGACTGCTTTCTTCTATGAGGACATCATCTTTCACCTCTCCCTCACTCGCACCTCAATCGGCTCAGGCAAAGCCAGAGAAAGGGTGTCTTTTGATGCCAAAAGTTGGAGGAATCGTTCGTTTTTGTTGGTGGCTCAGGCATTTGGACCTTCGAGACTCTCGTTGACTTATTTTGAGATACCCAGTCGGTTTGGTTCATTTCGACATTGGAGCGGGAATCTGGCAGAAAATAGACGCGGGGTGATAGGTTCGTCAACAAGGACGACCAGGATGTGAATCGCGACCACTACCTGCTAATGATGCCTTCGTCAGTGGACGGAGGTGAGCAAGTTGACCGGCTCTTGAAGGGCTGAGAAACTGACAGGGTGTGAGTGGTAGATGCGAGATTGTATATACCTTTCTAGAACAAAAATCCTATACGATTAATTGGCATTTGGTGGGCAGAGTTGTATGCCATGTGATCTCTCTGTTCGGACAGGTAGTTACGTGTAAGCTCTTGTCATACGTAGCTCTTGATGACGACTGCGTCTGTCACAATTGATCTTGACTGGCCGTAATAGGAGGAGGAGCAGGAAGAAGAGGAAGAAGACAGGTATGTTACATTTCGGAGACGGACAGATACATGTTGTAGGATAGATTAGGTCCAATACCCTCCCTGACTCCCTGATGCACTATAACGTGTATCTGTCTGTCCCTCTGTCTGTCTGTCCCTCTGTCTGTCTGTCCCTCTGTCTGTCTGTCCCTCTGTCTGTCTGTCCCTCTGTCTGTCTGTCCCTCTGTCTGTCTGTCCGTATATCTGGACTGGACTGGGTGTGAGAGTCGTGAGAGTTGTGTTGAGAGACAGAAGCTGTACGGGTCGTGCGGGTCGAGCGAGTTGTGCCGAACGTGAAAGATCCCCGTCCCCTGCCCTTCCCTTCCTCTTCCCTAGACAATACAAAAAGGTAGATAAGATATATATTTCTGGACGGGGTAGCCGGTAGAGTGGGAGTGGGAGTTGGATTAGGTAGATGGATGGATGGATGGGTAGAAGAGCACCTCCTCTCCTCTCTCTCTCTCTCTCTCTCTCTCTCTCTCTCTCTCTCTCTCTCTCTCTCTGGGTGCTTTTGCCCCCCTCGAGTGTGCCTGTTTTGAGCGCCTCGTGCCTGCGCAGCTCTTGCGTCTCGAGTGTCGTCATACACCAAGCAAGACGCACGACCTGTTTTGAGTGAGGTGCGAGAAAATACGAGGTACGAGGAGGTACAAATACCACTACTGTGTACCTACCTATGTACCCACCTACCCACACATGTACTCGTACCCGTATTCGAACCCGTACTCGTACTCGTCGCAGGCCTGAACTTGTAGCAATCAAGTATGTAAGTAGCCAATCATATGCGCTGGCTTCACGTGTTTCAGCCAATCAAGATCAGCGGGTCTTGGGGGGATATTTCCCAAATAGGAAATCAATGGAAATATTAAGGAAAGAGGGAAGAGGGAAGAGGAATAGTTATGCTTGATGCTTGATGCTCAATGCTCAATGCTCAATGCTCAATGCTCAATGCTCAATGCTTAATTTGATCTTCCTCTTCTTGTTGGTCATAATTCAAATTAACTAACCAACCATCCTCCATATCCGTCCGCTCGACTCGTAGTGATATGCCCTACCTACCCCTTTACTCCAAAACGGCGACGCCAACTCTGACTCTCAGTCTGACACTGCGTCTCTCTCTGTCGCTCCGCGCTCGACCAATACCTTGATTGATTCTTCCTTTCCCCACTCCTTCGCCAAATCCAGCGCTGTGCGGTCATTTTCATTTGTCGCATTCATGTCTGCGCCATATTCAATCAACAGCTCCACGATATCCGCACGGTCATCCACCAACGCACACTGCAGTGCGGTGCTGGGCTCTTCTCTTCCGTGATGACCGGGAGGCCACAAATAATCCGTCCACGCGTTGACATCCGCACCGTGTTTGAGCAACAACTGAACCATTTGGACAGCTCCTCTCGCGCAGGCCGTCTGCAGAGCAGTGCCCTTTCTTCCAGCCGGAGCGTTGACATCTGCCCCCTGTTCGAGCAATAGCTGCACAGTCTCAACCTGATCTCGTGCCGAGGCTTCCTGTAGAGCAGTACCGACCTGATATCTACCCGGCGCATTAATATCGGCCCCTTTATCAAGGAGTAGTCGAATAACTTCAAGAAGTCCATATGCCGAGGCTGCCTGTAGAGCAGTACCGACGTTAATTCCACCCGGAGCATTAATATCGGCCCCTTTATCAAGGAGTAGTCGAACAATTTTAAGATTCCCACATGCCGAGGCTGCCTGTAGAGCAGTACCGACGTTAATTCCACCCGGAGCGTTAATATCGGCCCCTTTATCAAGGAGTAGTCGAACAACTTCAAGGTGTCCATATGCCGAGGCTGCCTGTAGAGCAGTACCGACCTGATATCTACCCGGAGCATTAATATCGGCCCCTTTATCAAGGAGTAATTGGACAATTCCGAGAAAACCCTTTGCTGAGGCTAAATCTAGAGCTGTGCGCTCTCCTCCCCAGCCTCTAGCCGTCCGAGCACTGACGTTAGCACCGTGGGTAAGCAGCAGCTGCACGATTTCGACACTATGTAATGTGGACGGGCCTAGTCGCTCCAAGGCCGCCAGCAGGACACTACCATTGCCATGTGTGGTGGCAGCATTCACATCGGCCCCGTGATCGATAAGCAGCTGGCAGATACTCAGATGTTGGTTAGCTACGCCACATTCCAATGGCGTGCCATAATCTTTAGCCCATCGATTGGCATCTGCTCCGGATTCAAGCAGAATCTGAGCAATCTCATAGTGACCCCTCTTCGCAGCAGCATGAAGTGCACTACCATATCCTGGAGTTTGCTGGTTGACATCTGCTCCGGATTTAAGCAGAATCTGAGCAATCTCATAGTGACCCTTCTCCGCAGCAATATGAAGTGCACTAACATACCCTGGAATTTGCTGGTTGACGTCAGCTCCGCTCTTGATCAGGCGGCGGGTGGCGTGCTTTAAGCCTAGCAGCGACGAGTAGAACAGCGGGAAGTACGCTGTCGGCCGGGGGGGTGCGAAAAATCTGAAAATGTCTTCCTTTATAGAATCTCGAGGATCAAAAATCTGGAGCCATCTCAAAAAGCAACGAGGAGAAGTTTCGCCGAGGAACCGGTATGCACTGTCCGAAATTTTCGAAAGTCCGCCGGTTACCTTTTCAACCTCGCAGACATGTTTGTGCCAGTACTGCGCTGCGTATTCGGTCACTGGCCTTGCGTCGGCATCCTTATTTGATTGTGAAGGCTGGTCCAACTGAAGGAGAACCGAAATGGAGCATTCGCCAATATAGTTGTGAGCCTCGGTGGCAGAAACAGAGAAGTAGGCCGATCGTCCAGATGTCAAGTATTCAAGGACGGAGAAATGGGCGAACCTGACCACTTCAACCTCCAAATAACCCCTCCGGGTAAAGTGTTTCTCCGTTTGTTTCTCCGTCGACAGTGTAACGAGACTGCGACAAATGCGCAAAACTTCTGAGAGGTTGCATAATTCATCCGGGTCACTCGGGTCATCTCCAGGTCTCAGAACCGCAGCGTCTGCGACCTCCTCCAGTGTCAAAGGGCGTTTCGAGTATACAAGCCACTGAAGAATGGATCGAGCATCGACCTTGTTTGTTCTTGGAATTGCGTTCAGTATCCGCTCATATGTCTCGTCGAGAGTCTCCGGTAACTCGGTCAGTGCTTGTCTAATGGAGCTGACGTTTGTGCATTCCCCCAGCATGTCAAGCTGGCAGACAACCCAACGAAACCTGTTGATAATTAGTCGAAGCATTTTCCGGATGCGGAAATCATGGAACTCGAACGAACATTCCCTTAGCCCCCTCTGTGAGCCTCGTCTCTATGCTAGCTCTGATATCGATCTTGTCCCGCCATCTGCTAAGTGGACCTTCCTCCAGAGAGGATTGTATGTACCTTTGGATGTCACCGTCGACCGCAGAGCCCTGGATGGAGAGACCCCCATTTGCCAGATTTCCTAGAGCCGCATCGATATCCCACTCTTTTCGGCTTGTTGTCAGGATGTGGAGGTTCTGGAAACGACCATCGACCATTAAGGTGATCCATTTGAGCAATTTTTTCCTTTGTGCGTTGTTTGTATTCTCTGGAAATTCGTCGAGCGCATCCAGTATGATATAAACATCTGTGGCCAGGTGATAAATAACAGCGTCCAAGGCAGACGTTAGCTCCTCATGGGTAGGGTTTGATCCGGTCCCGCGGTGCCGAGTGCATATTGCTTGGACTGGATCCGGCAGTGTGGGCTCGTTGGCACAGAGTTGTCTGAGCAGCGACCGGAGTAGAGCGGACATGGACAGATCCTCCTTGTGAGAATCATTTTGGAAATCCTGAAAGTTGAAGTAAAAATAGGCTAACTTTCCAGCTGTGCCGTCAGAACACAATTCTTTAACAGCCTCGATGATCGTTGAGCTGTTGATTCAAGTTAGCAGAGGATGTAAAATCCCATAAAGTCTTCGACAAGGCGTGTGTACCAGAGAACTGTTTTGCCACAACCAGCTAGATGACCCCAAAAATAAGCGCTGCAGTCCAGTCAAAGAAGGAGGCACCCGGAGGGTATTGGGCTAGATGCTTACGAATTCCGTGCAGCCATAGCAAGCCCGGCGATTTGATCCAGCCGCTAAAATCGTCTGACTCCAGAAACCAGAGACCAGTCTCTGGCTCTCTCTGAGCCATAGCCCGGTTATGATTAGATGATGGATTAGTTGAGCCGCCGATCCATTCCAGCAATTTCTGTCGTTCATCGGCTAAGAACATTAGCTTCTCCCAAGATCATATTGAAACGAAGAAGGAATGTATACCCATGTGACGCTGATGAAGTTGGCTCATCTGACTGTCGTGCAAACTCCCTTTTTTGTCAAGATCGGTCTGAATCTTCTTGACAAGCTCCACGATTTCCGTGACGTTTTTCGAAGTGTTTAGCTGCGTTTCACGATTTACCAGAACCTCATCCAGGGTTTTAGAGAGGACATCACTAAGGCAACGATGGCCCTTTGCATTAGCCCACTACAGTTCCATCATGGGTTCGAGATGAAGACTTACCATCCTTCTATTGTCAACGAGAATTGGAATATCTGGATGCAGCGCCGGATTGTGGCGATAGTATCCATCTTCCCATCACGTTGGAGACACCAGATTAACTTTCGGTACCATTTCTTCTCCGAGCTTTCTTTCGGGAGCTTCTGTACAATTGTTGAAAGCGAATTGAGTGTTGCGTGGCAGGTTTGGATCGAAGTAAACAAGGCTGAAGTGTCTTTGAACCGTGGGGGTGGTCCGTTCTCACCATCGAGGAATTGGTCAAGCTGCTTCAGTACTTCACAGAGTGAACAAAGCTCTTGTCTGAGCTCGAGTGATTCTGGCTCAGCCTTCTTGACCGATCTTATGTACTTGGAGAGGATCTCGGTGACGTCGATGGTAAGGCTGAGCAGACCTGCAACGCTGGCTGTTAAACTTAGCGGGTCCATGGTCTCATTCAATTCGCAGATGAGGAAGAAACCTGGACATTACTGGAAGCGCTTCAAGTGCACAGGACTCAAATTTTGGTTATCTGGAAAGTGAGGCCAGCGAAGAACAAAAGAAGAGAGCTGAAAACCATCCAAACCTCTTTTTGCGACAACGGGCGGCTCAAGTCGGCGCTTGCTTTGCCAATCAGCCGCGGCCACGTTGGGGCGCAAGGCAACACGAAGTGGTAGGTCCTTCGCGAATGAATGAAGGTGGAAGAATCAGGTTGCCAGGGGCCTGACTGGATTCGCAAAGTGCCGCCAGCTCTTTCCCCAATGTACCGAGTACACGAGGTATCCATCATTGCAAGTCTCAATATGCATGAACATCAAAGGATGGATGGCCTTTTTGCTCGTGGCATAAATAAAGAATGACAATAATCACCTCTAAATAATTGAGATGAACAAAAAGGCGATTGGCAGTCAAGCAAAAGCGGCTCGGGATCACGTGCCACAGGAATGCCTGGGCTAGTCGATGTTTTGTCACGTGGCCGATTAAAGCAGCCTTGTCCCCTTTCCTGATTGAAACGCTAAGGAATAAAGCACAGTTCCAGGCACCTATATATACATCGCATAGAGGTGTATGGTATATAGCATTAACGGACTGGCGTCCTTGTAGTATGATAAAAAGTCGCCCGAGTCTCCTCTGTCCTCCCTCTCACACACATCTACCTATAGTTCCTCCATACCTCCCATATTGGTGTGCCACACGCCCATTGCCGCGCGACGCCAATAGCACCCACCCCATGCCATTTTTTTTACCCCAGGAAAGTTTTGCCAGTATCGTCATCATCTCATCCCAAGATACAACAAATGCACATAGCACAAAAGACCCGTTGTATCCAATTGTTTGTTCCTTGCCCTAGCTTCGATCTAGGGCAGTGTCGTTGATGGCCAAATTCTTCTATGAAATCCTCGCTTCACCAAAATTGATAGACGCCAATGACCCAATGGACTCAATCCGTGTGTTGATAGGTATCCGCTCAAATTACATGTTGGCCAATTCTCCATCAATCGCTTTGTCAAGGAAGGTGCGCCTCTCTCCGGCGGGTACCTCGCACTGCAGCCTCTGCTCCACCAGCGCCCTGACTTGCTTCTTGGTGACTTTGTCGAGATCTACCTCAGCCAGCACCGCGCGAATCGCCTCGACAATGTCATGGTCACTGGGTCCCGCCGAAGGAACGGTGCGGAAGTCCATCACCGTTGATGCTGGTCGGCTGCCTGTCATACCCACGCCCAACAGACTGGGTCTGCTGACCGAGTGTTGCATGCCACCCTGGAGGTACGGGCTGCGGCTCCGCGGGTTATCCTGGTATGGCACAGGGGAAGGAGACTTCAACCGCATCTGGCTGCCCAAACTCATCATGCTCATGTTCCGTCCATGCAGGCTGAGGGGTTGGTCCTTGAACTGTGTAAGGCCAGTCATGGTGCTGGTGCGGTTATTGTGCATTGCCGTGAACGGTGTCGACGATCGAGGCGGTGCCATATATGGCCCTGATTGCTGGGGGAAGCCTGCCAGGATCGTGCTAGCTGGTTTGACAGACGAGTAGCTTGACTGCATGTCGTCCATCTCCATCATTGCGGCGTCATCGTGGTAGCCATACTCAAAACCCTTCTCCGGGTAAGTGCCAGAGTTTCCACGACGACCTGGCAGGTTGTTGGCAGCGGCATAGTCGTCCCACCTTTGAAGAGGAATCGACCGGGGATCGAAGCCTTCATCCTGAATAGCAACGACCTTCTTGTCACCCTTCTCTCCAATCACGATTCTCGTGTTACCCCATGAAAAGTTGTCTTGATTCCAGAACGAGTAGATTGGTAGGACGAAGCTGTAAATAGGATAAGCGCATATGTAGATGAGCATCCATCCCACGTGTTGCCATTGTCGTTTGATGATGAAGATGATTGCTTGTAAACCGTACACAGCAGCAATGATCACAATTGAGATCAGGGGAAATTGGCCGGTATGCGATGCGACTCGATAAATCAAGTATCCGAGATACGTGCAGGTTGCAGGAAGGATCAATGTGCCGAACAAATCAATGAAGACGACAAATCTCATCGAGAAGCAGCAGAAACCACAAAGATCTTTCAAGAAGACGAGTTCGGCAAGGTTGTGAATGGTCGAGTTGATCCACCGTCTTCTCTGCGACAATAAGACGGACCAAGATTCTGGTGCGGCAGTGAGGGCGTAAGCGTCCGGGACAAACTTGTAGGACATGGACGGGAAATGCTTGGTCATCAACGTCGTGAGATATCGATCCTCGCCCAAGGACAACAGGTTCTTTTTGTGGAGAGTATCAACATCGCAGTCTGCATACTCCTGGATGACTTTGTCCGAGATGATGAGAGGCCGTCCCTTGTCAGCGGTTCTAAGGCGATACATGCAGAAACTGGTAAACAGAGGTTAGCGATGGCGAGCGAAGGTGAAAAAGGCAGAACAACATACCATCCAGGTAAACAAGTGACGCTGCCGAACAAAGACTCGAAAGCTTTGGCAAGATGATGTGAGATATAGTATTCGTAGACTTGGATCATAGTCCACAAGCTCCTTTCTTCGTTCTCCAGGCTTGTCTCACCACAGATGCCTGCAATTTTAGCATCGTTGGCACATGCGGCAACCAGGCGATTAAGTGAATCTTCCTTGACCATAGTATCTGCATCAACCATGAGAAGATACTCGTACAGCTCAGGGTCGACACCGATGACGTTGTTGATCTGATGGAAAATCTCCAATTCCAGAGGAGACATGGGTGACCTGTGGTGGACACGGTTCAGGAATTGCATCAATAAGATTTGTGAGTCTCGTTTTCCACGGTTTCCAGGCTTGGACTTTGTTTGCTCCGATTCCTTGCCGACCTTGACGATGACGATATATGGAACAACGTTGCCCTCATATTCGTAAAGCCCCGAGTACACTTTGCCGTAGTTGAGTTGCTCATTGCCATTGCCGACAGAGCGGAAGGGTAAAGCAGGTGGATCGATCTTCGGATCAACTCCAAGAACATCCAGCACAATCTTGGGTGTAGGCCTGTCGTTGCCACCGCCCACGATCATCCCATCGCAAATGACACAGATTAGCTTTCTCTTATTGTCATACTGAAGGGCAGTAAGAGAATCAAGGGATTTTCTCAGGTGATCTTCACCCTCAGTATAGGCAGGGACTTGACATATGACAAATTTATCCTGCGCAGCTGGTCGGCGCTTCGACCCAAGTTGGAGCGCCGCCAAAAATTTGATCAAAATGACAGCACACAAGATCAGGGTAAAAGCCAGAAGCAGGTAGTTGTTGACTTGGCACTTTGGAGTATCGCGGAAGTCAACCTTGCCAACATAGAACGCATTGTTCATACAATTCAGACTGTTTGCGAAGGCAGCATCCGTTCCCCATTGGCTCGTAATATCCTCGCCCGGGTTGCCGCTGATCAGGTCTGTCACCTCCTCCGGGAAAAACTTGTATGTGACAAAGTCGTTCATGACATTCAAGGTGTAGAAATAGTCGGTGAGATCGTATATGTTCTGGTGGATGACTACCCACTGCCTCTGGTCGGTCTCAGCTTGTTTCTTGATACTGCCCTTTGTAACGACCAGGTCTCCTTTGAAATAGTCCTTGATTTTGGGAAGGAAGGTGTCACTGTACCAATCCCAGCTATACAATGCTGATTGTTGATCTGGCTGATAACGATGACCGGAGGTGTGGACAGCATTCGGGTACAGAACGGCGTTGGTGTCATTGTGTTGCAGTTGGACACTCTCGTCGACATTCAAACCCGGACAAGCTCGACTCAGTGGTGGTGGGAAATATGCATCCAGGTTCATGCCCGCCAATGGAAGCATATTCTGCGCGTTGGTTTTGATAGCGGTGTCGCTGTGTTGGATTGGATAGAACTTCGTGATATCGTAAACTTTGCCCCGAATGCTGACATAAAAGTCATTCGTACCTGTATGGAAACCGACCTCTTTTGCATTCCAGGCCTTGTCAAAGTTGGGGCAGAGAAGCCTTCCAAACTCGATAATGTAGAAAACGATGAGGCCGTTCAGCAGGAAAATAAGGAACACCAACACCACTTTCTCTCGCCAGGCCATGCGCACATCAGGACGTTTCATGCGACCGATATATCGCAAGGCGATGGAGGGTATCCACCAAGTTAGCGCCCAGACGAGAGATACCCAAGCCTGTCTTCCAGCAGACGTCTTTTTAGACTCCACGTTCCGAGGATCAGCGAGCTCTGGATCCATGCCACCGACATATTGCCCGAGGTCTGGATCATAGACTGCGTCCTTGTGATCGTCGCCTTTTGGTCCAAGGCCGTAGTCGCCGCCAACTGTGTGCATTGTGCGTGCCATTGTCGGCGCAACTGATTTGGCTCGCTCTGTTGCGGCTTGGGCAAGCAAATTCTCCCGACTATCTTGAATGCTCATATTATCGCCCATCGGCGGGAAGAAGCCACTGCCGTTGTGAGGAGTATTGGCCGAGTAATTTGTTGCAAAGGGGTTGAGCGGCTGGCCGAAGGTAGGGTCATCAGAGAAGCCACCTTCGATAGGTTTCATGTCGAGCATTGACTCAGCCTCCCACCAGGCACTTTCACGCATCCAGATCCGTTCGCGCCCGATGATGACTTCTCCATTTGTCCAGCCTCTTTCTAGCAAGAAGCTTTCTACCCCATCTTTGCCGTCTTTGCAGCCGAGTCGGGAGTACCTTGTCACGAACTCTTCAACATCGAAATCAGCGGTAAAGTCGAGCCGCCGATTGCGGTGATTTGCCCATTCCGGAAGTCTCCATGCTCGTAATTGTCTTGATACCGCTCCTGCAGACCACGCGGAAGTGGTCGAGGTCAGAGCAGCCAAAGCACTTGGCATATCATCAGTAGGGTGGATAGAGAGCTGATACCATGCTCGACTGCTAGCGAGAGTAGCTCCCAGATCAAAGCGGCCTTTCCGGCCAAAATTCAGACCTTCACCATCGACTGGGTAGAGCAACGTGCGAAGAAATCCTCCAGCCTCCGCCTCAGCACCGATTTTCTCGAGGATGCCTTCTCGTCGATCCCGGTCGTGCTCTCTCTCCCGACTAAGCGGTCCTCCTTTGATACCCAGGTCAGCTTCGACCTCCGCAATTGCAGAGTTCATTTCCTTGAGAACAGAGTGGCCAGCAGAAACAACCTCAACCCCATCGTCCTTCATTTCGGCGTTTATACCTTGGGTGTCATCAAAGACATTTCGTAGAGCCACAGCCTTTCCGAGTGGCTCGCCAGGGATTTCGATAACTGTGAGGCTGACTTCATCACCTGCTTGGGTACTCGAATCAGGTGTCAGGGCACCGGAGCGTAATTCGGCAGCGATGGCATCGTTGGCCTTGCCAAGCACCCAGTCCACCAGAGCCTCGTACATGCCCGCAATCAATACTTCACGATCATCCGTGGAGCATTTCTTAACAAGCACTTCGGGCTCCAGTCCAATCAAACCGCCAACATCCTCGCATATATCTTCGAGGACGTCGGCATCAACCAGGAATCCGGTTGTTTGGCCCAGTTTCAGCAACCCAGCAAGACATGACAACAGTCCTCGGAAGGACGAGCCTTTAATACCAATCGATTTCAAAGCTGAACGGAAGTCTTCAGCGGCAGCGGCGTCATCGGCTGTTGGAAGGTATTTAGGCGGATCGTAGTAACCAGATCTGTTTAACAGGGTGTATTTGGATGGATGTTGCAATCCTAGGAACTCCCGCTCAGCTGGAGTAGATGCCGACGTCAGAAGGTAGTAGAAGACGTCAAAAGCACGATGACCGGGCTCGGATGGGATCTTCAGCAGCCCCCTTTCCACATCAATACCCGAGCCAGACAATGCGAGCGTGAAGCCAGTCACCGTTCCGCCAAGAGTGACGGTATATTTGGCAGCAAGAGAGGAATGTCTGTACGTGGTCGGGTTGAGAGGCGTGACACAAGAGAGGAATGGACGCAAGGCCGAGAGAGCAGTGTATGCAATCTCTGGAGTGGGTAGAGGAATGACCTGCAGAAATGCTTGCAAGAGCGAGGGTGTCGAGGGATGCAGGGATCCCAGAATGATACATCCATCTTCGGCTCTTCGTCTGGCATGTTCCCAAGCTCTTAAAGCAATATCTGCATCGACAGTACCACCTACCCGTCCTTGGGCATCAGGATTGATCGCACTGAGCCATGTGTTGACCGAAATGCTCGTGCTCGAGTCGAGTTGGTAAGTTTGGCCGGAGGCATAGATCGTGTGTAGGGAGTTGAGAAGAGTAGTAGTCGAGACTTGGGTAGGCTGTTGAGCCGCTGTTCGGGCAGCACCAACCTGCGAAGAGTTGTTCGAGTACGTCGAGTACCGGTTCGCCATGTTGAGGCGAAATTGGGCCCCTGTCGAGCAAAGGGGTCGACCGGCGCTCTGTCAACCACTCGCAGTATTGATTAAGATACAGAATGACACTGCAATTATGTTCAAGGCCTCCTCTTGCAAATTTGTAGCGTCAATCAAGGCGGTTGAACCAGGCTGAGATCGTGGGCGGTTCAGGGAAGGGATGGAATAGGAGCGAGTCGTGTCAAATCGTCAATGCAGCATTTCAGAACGTAAAAAGGGGAGGGTAAAAAGATCCCAAAGCGATGGACTGGCAAATGATGGCTAGATCTGCTGCAAATAGATTGTACAATGTAAAACGAGAGTAATGTTTGTAAGTCGTTAACGAAGGTGCAGAGGATGAGCGAAGGGGAGCGGGAGCAGGAGGTTGTCGACAAGGCCAACATGGGCCCCGAACACGGCGGAGTGCATCCAAACGTTGTTTTTCCAGGTTAAGGGACTGTGTATTGATCGTTACCCATACCACAGCCTGACGACAGAATATTGACCCATGCCCAGCTCCTCCTCGATCCGCAGCCACGGTCACGCCGGGTCAAGAATAGCAGCCAATCTGTGGCGCCACCTGGGTCTGGGCACCCATTTTTGCGTACTTGAGCCCCGGACATTTGCTGGGCGTTATACTGCTCTAGGCCTAAGCCACTCGGGTCGCTGCAGGGGAGCCCGGGAGGTTAAACAGCCTGTCAATCTTGTCCAGGCCAATCACACCAACGGTCAATGTGCTCCATGGCAACGGACGCGGAAAAGTCAACAAAGCCACCTGTCAAGCCCGCGTCAAGAATGAAAACCACTTTACGTACGACGCAATAATGAGTCTCCCAGCAAGGTGTTGATGACGGTGTCCCATGTCAAATTTAGTGATGAGACACGGTCATGGATTTAGGACTCGTACGAATACTCGTACCAAGTGAAATGTTTCAATGAAAGAGCAGAAAAAATCCATTTCGCTTGTCCTAGTTTCAGTTTGTTCCCACTCGTTGCCCAATGTTTGGTGGTCGGGTTGCACACGGAATTATTTTGCCTCAAACCAGCGCAGGGCCCAAGCGACGGCGCGGTCACGTGATGGAGATTCGGTCAGCATGTGGCACGCTTCTGCACCGTCTCGCCCACCTGCAGAATGCATGCTGCATGTCCACTCGCATTTGTCTCAGTTGGTCTTACCGGCGACCGGGCTGCATGTGTGTGTGTGTCCGTGGTCAGCCTCCAAACCATTACGATTCCGAAGATGGGGTCGTGCGCTTATCAATAGCGGCAAAGGATGAGCTTTCGGATAATCCTGTTTGCTTCTGGTGTTGCCTCAGGATGGGTAAATTTGTGTGGAGAGGAAGGAGGAAAAAAGGAGTGCGCTGCCCACAGCAAAAGAACCACTTTAAAAAATTTTGAAATATAAGTAATGGTAACCCCTTTTCTTGTCCTGGTGCTTCTGGCCTCGAATTGGGGTGTCTGTAGACGACTATCCAGGTACATACGTACGAGTAAAGAACATCAAGTGCGTTCCTCGTATGTTGCGTTACGTCGGAGATCCAAGCACCCAGTGCCGATCCCAAATAGCATGCATGCGGTGCCTGTTCTGCTGGCCGCATACTGGGCGCATGTACCTGGTACGGACGATGCATTCCAGCTCTGTTATTATTGGATAGCGAGGGATGTATTTGCTTCGTAAAGGACAATCCCCCAACCTCCTCCCCGTATGACTGCTAGACTCCAATACTCTTTTCGCTCGCCGCGCAGCAACTCCGACTGATGGCTGTGACCCGTCCCGGCCTCGAAAGACTCCGTAGAGGAAAGCTCGAAGGTGGCCTTGGAGGTAACTAGAAGGCTAGATAGGGTGTGCATGACAATAAGGTCAGATTTCAGGCGAGGTGAACAACTCACAAGACCGTCATCACTACCCTATACTTGGGGCGCGGAGTTTTATAGTAGAAACTCTCACCTGTCAGCATCATTGGACAGTACAGCCTGAGTCAACACCCACTGCTGGAGAGGGAAACGTGTGCGGCGCAGTGTACGCTTCACTGCCGGGTTGGTGAGATCTCAGACACTGAAAAAGCCTAAACCGCTACCATGCCGGGGTGTGAAAATGACCTGTTGAGTGTTTTGTTTGTAATGACGATTACAAACTCCGCCCATCTTCTTTATCCACCAGAAACCACAGTCCTGGTCTCAAACCCCCCCTTGCGCGAAGCCAATTCTGTTGCTTTTGCTGTTCGATCATCTCAACATACTTCACATTGATTTCATGTATGTTGGTTCTTTCACTCACAATCTTTGATACGACTTGACGAACTCTCGCTATTATTCTCTCGCTCTGCATATTGATTACACCGGCACATATTGACGCTCGTTGCCCCCTTACGATCACAGTTGCGAACTCGCAAACCCTCTCTCTTCCAACTCAACAACTGCCCGAAGACGCAAACTTCGTTCGATGAATTGAGAGCTTCAGTGATCAGTACGGCGGTGAGCCGACTCGTGGCTCGTCTGTTGACATATTGTGACGCGTTCAATACATCTCAATCAGAATGGCTGCTCGTGGCAATGTTCCTGCCCACTTGCAGGCTTCATTGCCTGCACTCCCTCCTCATTTACAATCAGATACCCATCTGACGGCCCACCTGGCAAGCCGATTCCATGTCTCTCTCCCAACGGCGAAATTATCCTCGCAAGCGTTGATATGCCTCAATACATATACCTCATCAACTAGGGGACCAAATGGTGAAAAGGAAGGAAGTGCCATGGGCGAGGCTGAGGATCTCGCCCGTAGGGCATGGGCAAGACTGGGAAATAGAGCAGAAGATCAGGCTATTGTGTTCTTGTATGTCTGCTGAATATCAACATGGTTTTGCTATCCTGCTAATTGTGCGACAGCGGAGAATCAGGGTCGGGCAAAACGACAGTCAGGTCACACCTACTTTCCTCCTTCCTTTCTTTCTCGTCCACGCCACTATCCTCCAGGTTGTCCCTCGCCGCCTTCGTCTTCGACACCTTGACTACAACCAAAACTACCACTACCCAAACAGCATCAAAGGCTGGGTTGTATTACGAACTCCAATATGACGCATCGTCATCGATTCCCACTCTCATTGGGGGCAAGTTGTTAGACCATCGCTTGGAAAGGAGTCGAATCTCACATGTACCGACTGGCGAAAGAAGCTTTCATGTGCTCTACTATCTTTTGGCTGGAACAAGTGCGGCAGAAAAGTCTCATCTCGGCCTCAATGGTCACACAAATATCACCACGTCAGGCACAGGCCTGACAAGGTCTGCCTCCGTGGCACAGAAACGATGGAGATATCTGGGCCACCCAACGCAAATGAAGGTGGGCATAAATGACGCGGAAGGTTTCCAACATTTCAAAACGGCTTTGCGAAAGCTGGAATTCCCTAGAGCCGAAATCGCCGAAATCTGTCAAGTCCTTGCTGCCATTCTGCACATTGGCCAACTCGAATTTGGCACCGGCCAGGCGACATTGACCGCGGCTGAAGAAAGTGGTGGATACTCTCATGAAGGTGGCGAGACAGTCACGGTGGTCAAGAATACTGACACTTTGGCTCTCGTCGCGGCCTTTCTGGGACTGAGTGTCCAGGATCTGGAAGAAAGCATGAGGCACAAGACAAAGACACTCCACCGAGAGCGTGTCACTGTGATGTTGGATCCAAAGGGCGCTCGCGAGAACGCTGACGAACTCGCAACGACATTATACTCGCTTCTGGTTGCATACATCATCGAAAGCATCAACCAAAGGATCTGTGCCGCAGAAGACTCTGTTGCCAACACTGTTTCCATTGTTGACTTCCCAGGTTTTGCGGACCATTCCTCTACTGGTTCTGTTCTAGACCAGTTGTTGAATAATGCTGCCAATGAGTCACTCTACAACACGTGTCTTCACGGTTTCTTCGAAAAGACGGCCGAGATGCTGGAAAGCGAAGAAGTCAGCGTGCCTGCAACCAGCTATTTCGATAACTCTGACGCTGTCCGAGGTCTGCTCAAGCATGGCAACGGTCTACTTGCCATCCTCGATGATCAGACACGTCGTGGTCGAACGGACACACAGTTTCTGGATAGTATCCGAAAGCGATTTGAGAACAAGAATAAAGCGATCACGGTCAGCCGCGCCACTACAACCTTACCTGGTAGCAACTTCGCCACGACGAATCTTTCGGCATCTTTCACGGTCCGTCACTATGCTGGTGAGGTTGATTATCCAGTCAATCGCTTGGTCGAAGAAAACGGTGACGTGGTGTCGGGTGACCTGATGAACATGGTCAGAGCTACTAAAAGTGATTTTGTGGCTAGCTTGTTCGGTCAAGAAGCCTTGAACACTGTCAGCCACCCGTCAGAGAAGACGGCTATCGTGCAAGCCCAAGTCAGCTCAAAGCCGTTGCGCATGCCCAGTCTCTCCCGGAAGAAGCATGACCAGCTGCGCCGGATGGGCAGTCGCAGAGCAGATCGCTCGCCTGCTCTACAGGAAGACGCTGACTCCACACATACTCCGGAAGAGGCCAGGACCAGAAAAACAAAGGCTTCTGCGACAGGATTGACCCAAGGCGCAGCAGCACAGTTCCTCTCATCTTTGGATAATATTACCAAATCGCTAACCGCACCCAACGTCAACAACTATTTCGTGTTTTGCTTGAAACCAAATGATAGGCGGATCGCCAATCAATTCGACAGCAAATGTGTTCGTCAACAGGTTCAGATGTTTGGGATACCCGAAATCAGCCAACGTCTTCGGACTGCTGATTTCAGTGTGTTCCTCCCTTTCGGTGAATTTCTGGGTCTGACTGACGCTGATACTGGCGTCGTCGGAAGTGATCGCGAGAAGGCGCAGCTTGTTCTGGACAACAAACAGTGGCCCGGGAACGAGGCAAGAATCGGCAATACCGGTGTGTTTCTCAGCGAACGCTGCTGGGCAAGTATTGCCCTCACAGGGTCACAAAGCACCGCCTACTTTGGCGGCGAGGTTCCCGCCATTTCCAGGCCTGATACGCCAAGTGCCAACCCTTTCAACGATTCCAAAGCTCGATTAGTTGCCTCACACGAAGGAACCCCCGGCTCCTTCTATGGTGACGAAACGAAAGGAGGGGGTTACTTCGGCAGTCGAGAACTTGACGCCAAATCTGATGCCGGCGCCTCTGCTTTCAACTCTGGAGATATGTTCCGCAATCTCGAGACAAAAGAAGAACTAGCCGAAAAAGGCAACAGAAAGAAGATGGAAGAAGTCGATGTTGTACCCGTTTCGTCGTCACGTAAAAGGTGGCTGGCGGTGGTCTACTTCCTTACCTGGTACCTCCCAGATTTTGCGATCAAGTGGGGTGGAGGCATGAAACGGAGGGATGTGAGAATCGCTTGGAGGGAGAAGTTCGCCATCAACATCCTCATCTGGCTCAGCTGTCTCTTTGTGGCCTTTTTCATTGTCGTCTTTCCCCAGCTCATCTGTCCAAAGCAAGATGTGTATTCAGCAGCGGAGCTGTCGTCACACGATGGTAAGAACGGTCACAGCGCCTATACGGCTATTCGAGGCGTAGTCCTCGATCTAGGTGCCTTCGCACCTTCTCACTACCCGAATATCATCCCACAAACGTCGCTTGAGAAGTATGCTGGTTTGGACGCAACGGGACTGTTCCCAGTTCAGGTCTCGGCTCTTTGCCAAGGAAAAGACGGCCGAATTGATCCCGCCGTTCAGTTGGATTATACGACAACAAACATCTCTGGTTCTGCCACGGTCATCAGCACCACTGACCCCAATCGCCGGTACCATGACTTCCGCTCTTTCACCAATGACTCACGCCCAGACTGGTTTTTCGAGCAGATGATCATGTTGAAAGCCAACTACAAGAAGGGAAGTATTGGATATACTCCACAATATGTGCGCACCCTTGCCAAAAAGTCACGTTCTATTGCGATATTAAACGACAGGGTCTACGACTTCACCACCTACAACCAAGGTGGGCGCAGCACTAGGGCTCCTGCGGGTCAAACAGTTCCGGCCGGAGTTGATACCAACTTTATGGATGACCTTGTAGTTGAGCTGTTTACACAACGGGCGGGACACGACGTCACGAAATACTGGAACGCTCTTTCCATGGACTCTGCGCTGAGAAGTCGGATGCAGCTCTGTCTTGACAATTTGTTCTTTGTCGGCGTCACGGATACCAGAAACTCGGCGCAATGTCTCTTCGCCCGGTATATCCTCCTAGCTATTTCCATCCTGCTTTGTACTGTGATTGGATTCAAATTTTTGGCTGCACTCCAGTTTGGAGGCAAGAACATACCCGAAAACCTCGACAAGTTTGTCATCTGCCAGGTTCCTGCGTATACGGAAGACGAAGAGTCTCTTCGTCGAGCTATCGACTCAGCAGCGCGGATGCGATACGATGACAAACGCAAACTCCTCATCGTGGTCTGCGACGGAATGATTATCGGTCAAGGAAACGATCGACCAACACCTCGTATTGTGCTTGATATTCTGGGTGTGTCAGAAACAGTCGATCCGGAACCACTGAGCTTCGAATCTCTAGGTGAAGGTATGAAGCAACACAACATGGGCAAGGTATACTCTGGTCTGTACGAAGTGCAAGGACACATTGTTCCCTTCTTAGTTGTTGTCAAGGTCGGCAAACCCTCGGAAGTCTCCAAACCTGGAAATAGAGGGAAACGTGACTCCCAGATGGTTATCATGCGTTTCCTGAACCGCGTTCATTACAACATGCCCATGAGCCCGCTAGAACTGGAGATGCATCATCAGATCAGGAACATCATCGGGGTCAACCCAACGTTCTACGAATTTATGCTCCAGATTGATGCTGACACGGTTGTGGCTCCCGACTCGGCTACTCGCATGGTTTCGGCATTCCTGCGCGACACAAGGCTGATCGCTGTTTGCGGAGAGACCTCACTCTCTAACGCCAAAGCATCTTTCATCACGATGATGCAGGTGTACGAGTACTACATTTCGCACAATCTCACCAAGGCATTCGAGTCGTTGTTTGGTTCCGTCACATGTCTACCGGGTTGTTTCACCATGTATCGAATCCGAGCTGCAGAGACGGGAAAGCCACTTTTTGTGAGCAAGGAAATCATCCAGGACTATTCTGAAATCCGAGTCGACACCCTCCACATGAAAAACCTGTTACATCTTGGTGAGGATCGATACTTGACCACTCTCCTCTTGAAGCATCACTCCAAATACAAGACCAAGTACATCTTCCACGCCCACGCCTGGACCATCGCACCCGACAGTTGGAAAGTGTTCATGTCTCAGCGACGCCGATGGATCAACAGTACTGTCCACAACCTCGTCGAACTGCTGCCACTGCAGCAGTTGTGCGGTTTCTGTTGTTTCAGCATGCGGTTTGTGGTGTTCCTGGATCTGTTATCGACAGTCATCGCCCCTGTGACGGTGGCTTATATTGTCTACCTCATTGTGCTACTCTCTACTTCATCCGACGTTATTCCCTTGACAGCCTTCATCTTATTGGGCGCAATCTATGGTTTGCAAGCCATCATCTTCATCCTTCGCCGCAAATGGGAAATGATCGGGTGGATGATTGTGTACATTCTGGCCATGCCCGTCTTCTCTCTGGGTCTGCCTCTGTACTCGTTCTGGCACATGGACGACTTCAGTTGGGGTAACACGCGTCTTGTGAATGGTGAAAAAGGTAAACAGATCTTGATCTCTGACGAGGGCAAGTTTGACCCCGACTCGATCCCAAAGAAGAAATGGGAAGAGTACCAGGCAGAACTCTGGGATGCGCAAACCCAACGGGACGACGAAAGATCCGAGATCTCGGGCTACAGCTATGGCACCAAGTCGTACCATCCTGCCGCATCCGTCTATGGCGGTGGTCCTGGCTTGTATGAAAGCAGCGCACATCTCATGGCTCCCTCTAGGTCTGTCTCACAGCTCGACATCCACCCACCAACATATGAAAGAGGATACAGCCATTCCAGGATGTCTCTCGCGCCTTCGGACATGATGGGCGGCGGCATGATGGCAGGTGGTCAATCTGTGGCCGACATGGATATGGCCGACTTGACCGGATTGCCCACTGATGACATGATTCTGAATGAAATCAGGGATATACTCAAGACGGCTGACCTCATGACCGTGACGAAGAAGGGTATCAAGCAAGAATTGGAGCGGAGATTTAATGTGAATTTGGACATTAAGCGAGCGTATATTGGAAGTGGTAAGTCGTGCTCCTTGCTCGAACCTTGGGAAGGAAAGCTAACATCTGGCGCAGCAACGGAAGCCATTCTCTCGGGTCAACTGTGATTTATCCGCACAATCTAGCGTCTGTCCTGCTCTAGCGACATGTTTCAATGGCAGATTGCAGGAGTTTAGGATGAGTAAACTAAAATGGGTGGTATCGGTAGACATTTGGTTGGAGGAGAAAGGACTCCATGGCTAGGTATAATCACTGAGGGAGCGAATGAATTGCAGCATTTGTAATCGATAGGGGGACAGAAGGGCATCAAAACAGCGTAGATGGAGGTTGATTTCCAGGAATCTGCCATGTATACCAACATTTTATGCCTTAGGGTGTTAGCCTTCTACGAATTTCGGGACTAGTCTGGAGCAGTAATACCTAGTACGGACGCCCAATCGTGTCCAATCGTGTACCTTGTACATCAGTCGAGAATCGCATCAAGTAGGCCAGAGTGAAGAGGGAGGGTTGATCAGCGGGGCTGAAGAATGGTGGTTGCTCGCTTAATGCAATAGAGGAGCTGAACAAGCTCACCAAGCTTTTCGTTGAAGCTTTTAGAGAGGGAGGCCTTACGAGTTCAAGTCCGGCTTCAGGCGGCTCCAAAGGGCTTAGGCTGGCCCAAAGCCCCTAACGGCCCCTAGAATCCCCGCTTTGGCAGGATGCCGTCATCATGAAATAACCCCCAAGTGCCCCCCTTCAGCCCCCATGGTGTCAATGACGCCCCAATCAAGGCCCAGAATGACCAAGACTGCTGGGCATCGCTCACACGACAAAGGATCGAGTCCAAACTTACAGGCCAATGGCCGGGACGCTTGGTTGTACCTTTCAGGATTCAGGGTTGGCTTGCGTGGCCCTCAGTGATCTGGCCCTGATCCTTCTCTCTTCCCGCGAACCCACCGAGAGCTGCCCTCGAGGGCCACCTGTAACAAGGAATCCATCACATCCCTCGGTTGCGACTCTGTTCAGATTGCGCCACGACATACAGAACTAAAAAGGCAGTCTCAGCGCCTTGGATCTCTGGGGCGCTTCAACCATTCTCCCTCGAGTGACGCCACAGCTTGCTGTCGCGATGATACCCAAGGGGATCTACGACCTCTGCCAGAACCGCGAGTCGATTACTTCGCAATTGGCCCAGGATCCGTCCATTTCCCCTCATGCGGCTGCCAAAAGGCTGTTTGGTGTCGATATCGACGACGAGGTGGTTACCAGAAAATTGGACCTGGGAAAGGAAGAACCAAGTGATCTGGAAGAAGCCCGAAAGTGTGGCCAATGGGGTACATCCAATCCCAGCGATTTGTTTCTGAGGGTGAGACGACCTCTTGACTGCAACGATGCCGCAAAGCCCGACCCTGACTCTGTTGCTAGATCTATCATGATGTCCTGTGCACACTGGAAAAGAATCCTTTGGTGGGCGTGTGCTCGCCATCGCTCCTCGGAAGCAATGGAGTGTGCCCGCTCACAATCATGGCGACGGTTCCCGATATCTGCCGACACATGTCCAACGTGATCGCGAGGGCAGAGCAAGAGGTCTTCCTGGCGACCAACTTTTGGATGTATTCAGAACCTACCCGGCTGATCACCAACGCGCTGAGAGAGCTTTCGAGAAAGGCCGTCCTGACCAATCGCCGGGTCGTCGTCAAGATCATCTACGATCGGGGAAGTGCGAAACAGGTGAGTTGACGTCCTGCCCGCTGGCACACATTCATTGACAGCACGAGCTTGTAAAAAACCACCTCATCGTGCCACCCAGCGAATTTGCAGATCCCAATGGCAAAATCCGAATACCCCATCCTGATGAGCTGCCAAACATAGATATCGAAGTCATGAATTTTCATCGACCAATGTTTGGGACATTCCATGCCAAATACATGGTTGTGGATCGGCGAATTGCGATATTGCAGAGCAACAACATCCAAGATATCGACAACCTGGAGATGATGACGCAACTCGAAGGACCAATTGTTGATTCATTCTATGATGTTGCGCTCATCTCATGGCACAATGCTCTCAAGCCACCGCTACCGCTGTTGAGCCGGCCTGCTGCGGATTGTTCGATTCCCACTTTCACGAGCGACAGTTATGCGACCATGTTCGACGAAAGCGGAAAGTTGGTTCCCGTGTATCAAGCGTAAGTTGGACGCACTGAGAGATGTGCCTGCGTAGCGCTGACCTTGACACAGACCCACGCCAATCCCTGACGGCCACGAGAGCCTTCGAGAGATTGCCGAGCATGGATCGCAGATGGATTTGCCCCAGCACACATCACACGAACCCCACTACGACCCTGACATCAAGTCCGAGGTGCTACGCGCTGTAGCATGTTTGAATCCACGGGAGGGCGAGACACGGATAAACGCGATCACCCGCCTGCTGAACACGACGATTCAACCTGACACGAAAGGGAGCGCAGCGGATATTGAACCAGCTGACACCATGACGCCACTCATTCCGATTCCACGACATGATCCTTTCCCGATGGCCATGGTCTGCCGACAGCCTGGGGAGCGCCCACCAAGCACTGCTTGTACACCCCCCAAAATGCAGCCTTCATGTCTGCCCTCCGTCATGCGGCAAAGTCGGTTTTTATCCAGACCCCAGACTTGAATGCCGAAGCCCTCCTACCCGAGATTGTTGCAGCTTGCCGACGAGGGGTCAAGGTCACCTCCTACTATTGTCTGGGATATAACGATGCGGGAGAACTGCTGCCTATGCAGGGCGGACACAACGAAATGATCGCAAACGGACTGTATCGCGACGTGGGACCCGAACATCGCGATAACCTGGACATCTACGCCTACGTCGCCAAAGACCAAATCCACCCCATCCACAACAAATTCAAGCAGCGGTCATGTCACATCAAGCTGATGATCGTGGACGGCCACATTGGAATTCAGGGTAACGGTAACCAGGACACGCAGAGTTGGTATCACAGCCAGGAAGTCAACGTCATGATCGACAGCCCACTGGTCGTGGGCAAGTGGATGGAAGGAATCCGACAGAATCAAAACACGCACATCTACGGCAAAGTCGAGAACGAAGGACCTGATGCTGGATGTTGGAAGGATCCGAGAACTGGCCAGCAGGCCGAGGGTGCCATTGGTGTCGACCCAGGCAAGTTTGCGTGGGCCAAGGGGGTTGTTGGTGCTGTTCAACGGGTACGAGGAATGGGTGGGTTTTGAGTTGAGCTTGTCGCGAATGTTTTCACGATCGGTATGACGGGGTATTGGCTATTCAAGAGTATGTTGGGGGAATCTGGGTATTTTTGTTGGCGGTGAAGAATATACGAGCGATGGATGGTTTCAAGCACAAGTATCTGTTCCATCTACCTACCCTATAAGCCTCTGATTTGGACATGATATACATACGAGCAGCTCTTTGCGCCATTTCATGACAATTCAATCTATCTCCTTCTCTACTTCTAAGATCTCAGACTCTCTGTCCCCGCTCCTCCACTTGCACCATTGTAACGGAGCACCCGTCTGTTATTGTCGTCGTTACTGTTATTGTTTGGTTCTTCTTCTTCCCGTCAACGCACTCAGCAGCAGCAGCAGCAGCAGCAGCAGCCGCCGCCATTCAGCTGACAGGATTTCCCGGGTGTTGTGTCGCACCCGACCGCGAAAACCTTTGGGCGATTGATTGGCTCACGGGGATGGCTGATTTTCAGCTCTGCATTGGAGACAGTGACACCTGGACCAGCGATATCTTGCGTCCAGTTTCTGGTGTCCAGTGTCTGGTAGAATATGCTGCAGGGAGAGGTAGGTCCCGCCCAGCCCAGGCAGCCACCAACTAACACTGTCCACAAGTCCCGTGTAACACACCTTTGGTGCTGCAAGATTCATGATTGTCGGCAAACTCTTACAGGGATGGTGTCGGTGCGAGGTCGAGACTCGTCCAAATGGCCAACTCAACTCAGTTATGCGTTTGTGCGTCAGACGTGTCCTTGCGAGACTGTGGCTTGCGTTCATGGATGAGCAACGGGGTGCAGGTGCGGGTGCGGGTGCGGGTGCGGCTGATGTTGCTCTTCTTGGAGGAGGAGGTATGTACTGTATGTAAGGCTCTGCTATAAATGCCCTTGGTCCCTACACCTCGTGGACATTCTCAAGTTCAATCGCCCTTGGATCCTATTTCGCGTTCATAGAGCAGCTTCATACAGAAAATATCACGTCGATCAAGCATCAGCAATGGTCTCTCACGAGTTCAGGCGAGTCCCGCCTCCTCAGGCCTCCATGGGCCATTGGCTCCCCCAGGACCGGGCCCATATCAAACAATGGCTCGCCACCAAGCTGGAACAGCTCGACAAGAAGCGACAGCTTCACAAAAAGGCCTCTGTCACGCTGGACCCCAGCATCGTCGCCCTGCAACAACTCGTCGTGGCCAGCCCCAACCTCACCAAACTCTCCAGTGACATGTTCACCCAGATTCCCCCTGCCTACAAGGACGATCCTACTGGCAAGCCCCAAGTTCGCGATTTCGACACGATGCTTGGACTCGTCGACATGATTCTCAAAGAAGGACCACAATGGTTTGACATTCAGGACCCGCCGACTGCCATGGGGTTGATTGGGTTTCCCATCAACGCGATTCTGGACTGGCCGATGGGCACCTTAGCGGGTTACCTCTTTTTCTTGGACAGCCAGGTCAACAGCATGTGGCGAGACATCCTGAACGTCTGGGGCTCATTCCTCGAGAGTCCGGCGTCGACCAGTTGTCTCAACGAAACCAGTGGGTGGCTTTCTGCTGATGCTTTGAACATTCTAGCCGCCAAGGGGAATGATGGCAAGACAGATTACACATTCCAGCAGCTGTATGTCTGCAACCCGTCCCTTCCATTCTTTGGGTTTGGTTCCTGGGATCAGTTCTTCACTCGAAAGTTCAACCCCGGGATCCGGCCCATCGCCTTTCCGGACAATCAACCCACAGCAGAGCAGCCGGATCCGACGCGAGTCATTGTCAATGCTTGCGAGTCGACACCTCTCCAATTCGCCACCAACGTCAAGCTGCACGATACCTTCTGGCTCAAGGAGCAGCCGTACTCTTTGGCTGAGATGCTGGACAATCATCCCTGCACCGAGCAGTTTGTGGGTGGATCGGTGTATCAGGCATTCCTGAGCGCCCTGTCGTATCACTGTTGGCATACACCAGTATCTGGAAAAGTGGTGGCCATTCGTCAGGTGCCAGGGTCGTACTACTCGGAGAACCTCTCGCAGGGTTTCGATCCAGGATCACCCGACGCCGCCGCCCCGAACAACTCCCAACCGTATATCTCGGCCGTGGCAGCACGCGGGATCATTTTCATCCAAGCCGACAACCCTCAAATCGGACTGATGGCCATCGTGTTTATCGGCATGGCGGAGGTGTCTTCCTGCGAGTTTATCGTCAACGTAGGGGAGCGGGTTGACAAGGGCCAGTCGATTGGTATGTTTCACTTCGGAGGCTCAACCCACTGCATGATATTCAGGCCGCAGACGAATTTGTCCAGCCACAACTTTGTCATCCCGCCGCCATGGGACCCTAATGCCTCGACCAACCTACCTGTCTGTAGTGCGCTGGCTGTGATTACGCCGCCTTCAGGTGGCGATTGAAGGAAGACCGGAGGAATATCAATGGATCACGAGCGATGCCCAGGGGTTCACGGTATCTGGCGAGCTGGTCAGAGATTTGGTAGTTGGTCAGTGGCAGATAGCCTTTTGTTTACCTTGGCACGTGCTTGGGTGCCAGATACTTGCGGCATCAATTCCGCTTTTCCTCCAATACATTGCGCCATCCTTTCTCCAATAACAGGTTCGTTCCACTTTCCTTGAAGACGCTGCTGAGCAAAGCACGGCAGATGCATCGGCTGCTTACCTAGTACCTAAACTTGAACAACCGTCGGACACTGAAGCCGGAAACTGGGGTTTGTTTCCGGTGGGGGGCCTTAAGAGGAGGAAATACAGGACGCACTCATCACACATACCTACACCTACGAGGTACACATACAAGAAAGATTGGGGCCACCATGGGGACAGGTCCAGATCAAATGCTCGTTCCTACGACATCGGCAAACAAGGAACCAGTGCCCAACCCCACACACCGAGAGTGATGGACAAGCAGAACCAAGTTCGCCGCCCACACACACAACACACATACCCCTCCGCCCTGGATTTCCCTTCTGGTTATTCGTTCGAGCTTCATTGACTGGCCGAGCTACTTCTCCATTCCATCAAGAGCCGAATCAATGCGCCATAATAACCCTGAACAAGTAGTTGCTGGGACCTTTTACCCCAGTAGATCCCCTTGCCGCCATCCTCGGCCAGCATCGGGACACCACCGCCTCTTCCTTTGTTGCCCATTGAGTATTTGAGTGAATGGCACTGCGATATTTGAACTGAACCATCCGTCTCTCTAATTCCCCCTTCCGGTCTCAGCTCTAGTTTGTTGTGCATCACGCGTCCAGAGTTTGTTGCTTGATTTGGACCTCTCTCCGTTTGACCCACGAGCTTACCTGCGAGAACTGCCCATCATACAGAGCAGACCTGGCAACCTAACTTTGAGCAGGACCACCACTTGCAGACCGAGCTCCGCCATGAGTTCGTACTTGAAATCGTACGCCTGGCCTGTCTGCGCTGATAGAGGGTGCAGACATGCAGACTGACCATGACTCGACCAGACCCTACACCACCTCAACCGCCTTCTTCGAGGCCATCTCGGAGGTAAAAACCCCCCGGAGAAGTGACTTGTCCCGTGAATGTGTCCCGTTTCACTGACATCAAACCGCAATGCGCAGGCCGGCATCACTCATGTCTTTGTCAACCTGGGCTCGGACCACCCGTCCATCATGGAGGCAATCACCAAAGGCCAGAGGGAAAAGGGAGTGAACTTCCCCAGAGTCATCACCTGCCCCAATGAGGTACGCAAGGAAAGATGGGAGAAAGATGAGTGCTGGTGCGGCACTCTTAGCAGCTCTGGATGTGAATGCTGAAACATGAGGAATCTCATCTAGATGGTTGCGCTGTCCATGGCCGACGGCATGGCGCGCTTGACGAACAAACCCCAATGCGTCATTGTCCACGTCGACGTCGGAACCCAAGGTCTGGCTGCGGCCGTCCACAACGCCTCCTGCGGCCGCGCACCCGTCCTCATCTTCGCCGGCCTCTCCCCCTACACCATCGAAGGCGAGTACCGAGGGTCGAGAACAGAATACATACACTGGATTCAAGATGTGCCGGACCAGAAACAGATTGTGGCGCAGTACTGCAGGTATACCGCCGAGATCAAGGGTGGCAGGAATGTCAAACAAATTGTCAATCGAGCTCTCCAATTCGCGACCAGCGATCCCAAGGGACCTGTCTATCTCTACGGGGCCCGTGAGCCTATGGAGGAGGACATTGAGCCATACTATCTCGATCAGCAGGTGTGGGGACCTGTGGCTCCCGCAGCTCTGCCACAAGAGGGCGTGGCGCTCATCGCGGAGGAACTGGTCAAAGCTACAGAACCCTTGCTCATCGTGGGCTACACCGGCCGCAATCCTGAGTCGGTGGCTGCCGCCGTGGCTTTGGCGGACAAGATCCCTGGTCTTCGGGTCCTCGATTGCGGAGGTTCCGACATGTGTTTTCCATCAGATCACCCGGCGGCGCTGGGACTACGGTATGGTAACGACCGAGCCGTAACCACTGCGGATTTCATTCTAGTGGTGGACTGCGACGTCCCTTGGATTCCTAAACTGTTCAGACCTAAGCCAGACGCCAGAATCATTCACGTTGACGTTGACGTGTTGAAGCGGCAAATGCCCGTCTTCTATATCTGGGCGTTTGCTCGATTCAGCGCTGATTCCACCACCGCGTTCAAGCAGGTGAACGAATATCTGGCCTCAAACGAGAAGCTCTCTGCGGCTTTGTCAGACGAGGCCCACGCCGCGGCGGGGAAGAAGCGACAAGAGTTATATACGGCACGCTGGGGCGAATTCAAGGCATTGGCCAAAATACCCGAAGACCCGGCAAATACGGCGATCAATCCTCACGTACTGGGCGGCCAGATTAGAGCAGCCGTGCCGCAAGACACCATCTTCGCCGTCGAGGCTGTCACCCTGAGCACCTTCATAGCCGACCAGATAGCTCCCGTGCAGGCGAAGACGTGGATCAACTGCGGCGGCGGGGGGCTGGGGTGGTCCGGGGGCGGTGCGTTGGGCATCAAACTGGCGTCG